AACATGGGCACACAAGAATTCCTGCTGCTCAATGACATTTCTCTCTTCCACTAAGGAGCTGGGGCAGTGCCTCATCTAATACAGTCAGCCATTGAGGTCTCTCAGTCTGAGGACCAGTGCCCATTTGGAGATGGCAAAAGTGTTCAGAGGAGGGGATAAAAGCATTTCAGAACAACAAAATAGCATTAGTCTAAAGCACTTCAGGTTGCCTGTAAGTTGTTGCAATTAATGATTAAAAGTAAACCATAGTAATTGTTGATACTAACCATAACATCATACTTAACACCTGGCAGAAGCTCAGCTTTTCTGAAGTACAAAAATATTTACATTTACAACTACTAACTAAGTACAGCTCTGAAGGAGCAGCAATCATAAAGCAAAACATTTCTTCAACTAGCAGTGCAAGCCCCACAGTATTTCAGGTTTTCTTGCCATAAGAAGGTTAGAGGTAATTTCATGGGTAGAGGCACAAGTCAAACAAAGAGTTTGCACTTAAAAGGTTCAAGAAATGCTTTCCCAAGCTATTAATTCAGGTAATTTTTTGCCCCAGGTAATGCAGTTAAATTAATAGGGAAGGTAGGGATCTTTTTATTTATTCCACTCACTTCTTTAAATTACATTTTGGAGGTGATGGAGTGTTCATAGCAACTTCCAACAGTCAAATTCCCTAACCTTCCCAGTAGTGACAGAGCCACTAGGCTAAAGGAGGCAAGAGGAAAGGGAAATGGGGACTGAGATGGAATTACAGCACCCTTTTCAACAGTATCACATAGACAAGTAAGATTAAGCATAACATAAAAATGTTCTCTTGATTAAGCTGTTCTTTTATAATTTTCCTCACACCAAGGAATACTGCTGAATACCAGCTGCTGAGTATACACTGCAGGTTCTTGCAAGACAAATACAAAAATAATTCAGGAGAAATATATTCTGGACACTGAAGCTCTCCACTGCAGTACATCCATTCTGAAGGAAAAAAACCAGCTGATAAACTGGGCACTAATGTGTGCTATCAGCCTGCAACAACAGCTGATCTCAAAGATTTTAAACATGCCCATTTAAATAATCAGTACTTTACCACAGAATTTCCCCTTTTTAAAAAAAATAACATCCTTAAAACAGAAAAGTAATGTGATCCCACAAAGCAAACCACTGCCAATGGAAATAAACACTTATGCTCTATTATTCTATGCTCCATTTGTTAAAATTAGTTAATTACCTCTTTCCTTGCTTGCTTTGTTCAATTAACTCAATTTTCAGAATTTTATAACCCTTTTGATATCTTTCCAACATGTGTTCTCTTTCCATTGCTGTTTTCTGATTTTGATCTAGTCTATCTTCTGCATCTCTAGCAAATAAACAAAGCATAATAAAAAAATAAGAACTTTTTGTAAAGAAAACATATTCCTGTCGTTCTTTAGCGCATACAACGTTCCAGAAGTGCTAGACAAACATGCTATCACTCTCAAAGCTGGGTTAGGAGCAGCCACAGTCTGCAGACTCCCCAGGAGTATGTCTGCAGTCTGGAGTGCTATCTAAGACTTATCAATAGGCACCAGGGGTCACAACAACTGCCAAGGCCCCAGAGAGCTGACCTTGTGTCATGAGCTCTGATCATAGAAATCATATTTTCTCTGCCAAGAGGTGTGACTGGAAAAGAACACTAAAATATACATTTAACATAAGTATTTTTACTTTTTTTTTTTTTGTGAAGACAGACTACTGAGATATTAATTGAATATTCCACAGCAGGAGGTTGTAAGGCAAGTTGACAGCCAGGTATGTCTTCCTGACACCTCTGAACAGCATTTGCATCAGTTTTATTTGGCCATTTGCCTTGATTAATGTATTCATGAAGAAAGAATCCTTTATGTTACAAAGAACACAGCCGTGTTCAGAAACATGTATGCTTGTTACAAGAGAATATATGTGGTTACGTAGCAAACAATCACCCTAGCCAGTTGTAAGGGCACATTCCTATTCAGTACACATTACAAACTAGTTTCTTTCACCAGTCTTTATTATTTTTTCTCAGTTTCTTGAAGTTCATTCAGCACAAACTAAACCATGCCCTTCCTCCTATAAATGGCTCTGAAATGAAAGTTTCAGACCCCAGATTACATGACCCACACAGGATCAGAAATTATGTCATCCCTAAAAAGAGATTGGACTAGCAGAAAGACAACAATAAAATATTGATTTAAAAGTACACATTACTTCAGAATTTTATCTTGAGCTGAAACTTCTGCTTCCAAATTTACAATCTGTTCTTTCAACTTCGGAATGCTGATTAAATGTGTAGCTAAAGCAGCCTCTAGATATGAAATCTGAAATACAAACATATTTGGGGTTAACATTTGCATACATACAGGTGAGAAACATAAGAACAATCTGCTTACTAAATGACAGTGCTCTTAACCCTACTGTAAATTATGTTTGTTTATCTACACCACCTTAACTCCAATTTTCTGCTCATTTAACATTCCTTCCAGTTCCAGTGTGATAGTCTGTCTAGCAAAATGATTTCTTTACAGTTTGATCTTGTCACTTGCTTTTCCCCAGAAGTTTATATCCAACTACTTCTTCTTTTAGTGCCAGGCAAACATTTTGTTTGTCTATTTATTTGTACTGTTTTGGACATAACATTTCTCAAACAAAACCCACTAAGCATAGCCATATATTATTAATATTCTATATAAACCAAATAAAACAACATAGTTGTCCTGAAATAAACCTGTACAGAGAAGTGTAAACTAAATCAGTAATGATCTATTAATAGAATATTCCCTTCTAACTCATCTTCACTTTTTTTTCAAAATAGCAATATTAATCGAACTTGAGCGATGAACTATTTTCATTTCCTAGACAACTGATTACTGTGCCATTATTATTCCCACTAATCTCTCAGACACATGAAGGAACAGTACTAAAAGCATTACTAAACTATTTTCTTTCACAGTGTGTTTTTCATTCTGTGGCTTACTGTCTTTAGACTAAACTTTGGAACATAAGTAGATGGAATTCAAAATTAATATAGTTATTTTGCCCATGGAGAAATAGATTCCAAACTATTCTGTCCAAGATTAATATTGATTATGACATATATACTAAATATTAAACTTACACAGATTAAAATAAGACAAAACCCAGCACATTCTGCTTGGAATTCTAAACTCAAAAATCATGGTCACTGGGTGTCTTGGGGTACACTAAAGATACATACTTTTGTTTTTGCCTGCATCAGTTCAAAGTTCATTGTTTCCACTCTGTTCTTCAGGCAGTGATTCTGAGAAGTCAAAGATGCATTTTGCTCATGAAGGGCATCCAACTGCTCCTGAAGTTGTTCATTTTCTTCCACAGTTTTATTCAAAGTGGTGGATACAGAGTAAGACTAGACATACAAATATGTTTGTTTATATATATATATATATACACACACTTACATAAAAACACATCATAGTATGAATAACAGTGTGGGTTTAAAGGGAACTTTAAAAGTCACTTACTCCAGCCACCTCCCCATGAGCAAGGACACTCTAAAGTAGATCAACTTGCTCAGAGCCCTGACCAGCCTGACCTTGGATGTTTCCTGGGAAGGGGGATCTACCACGGCTCCGGGCCACCTGCGGCTGTGCTGCACCACCCTCATGAGTAAAACACCTGTTACAGCTCAGCTAAATCAGCTGAAAATCGTTACCCCTTGTCCTGTCCCAGCAGGACCTGCTAAAAGCTTTGTGCCCATCTTCCTTGCAAGCCTCAAGCCCCGAAAGGCTGAGCAGAATCCTCCCCGCAGAGGTGTACTCAAGGGATACAATGTTTAAGGTGCTCACCTGACATCACTGCAGATCCTACAGTGGATCTACTCCAAGCCCAGCAGCCAAAAATGCTCAAAAACATAGCAAAGAATAGAAAGCCAAAGTAATAAAAAGGAGTAACGAAGAGGAATATTTACTTTGCATTTTCTTTGAAAATCACGGTGAGAGGTTTTCCCAGAATTCTTCTTACAGCTGGAAAAGCCTTGACAATCGTAATTGGGCTGTACAAAGTCCTCCAGAGGGACATCTGTGACCTCATCGAAGCAGTGGCCGTAATGTCCCCTTGTACTAGTGTGGGGAGGGAGAGCAAAAAGTCACTAGTGCTTTTTTTCTTTATTAGGCTGCTCATAGAGACTATTCAATCAAAAAGCAGAAAAGGAGCTAATGACAGTAATCCATCACACAGAATACAACAGAGTTAGGCTACAAGAGACAGGAGGCTCTCATTCCCAGACACGCTCATACCTGGAAAGCTCTTTCTCTACACTTTGTAGGTTTCTTTCAGTTCTCCTCAGCTGATTCTGTAATGACTGCACATTTGCGAGCAGGTCCTCGTCAGCATCACTTTTAGAGCAAGTCCACATACTACATTCCATTGGTAACATGCTAAGTAAGGCTAAAGTAATATTTAATAGTAAAACACTGTTAAATGGGCATAAAAACTATATGCAAAATTTTTTTTTAAAAAGTAAAGGAGAAAAAAATACAAGAAAAAACTCAATTTCCAAATGTATACATTTCACACACTCCTTCTTCCTAGGTTCATTTGATAAAAGTAACAAATTGCCTCTTTTGTGAGGAGAATGCATTCCTGAAGTACAGAAAGCTCCATGACTTGCCATAGATGAAAACTGGAAAAACCTGCCGTGCATTATTTGCCAGAAATCTGTCACGGAGCGCATCCCAGAGATGTGGCAGTGCCGTGCACCTGGCGGGGAGCCCGGGAAGCGAACGGCGCACAAGCAAAACTTGCCTCACAGCCGTGACCAGCGCAACGAGAGACCAAAGCGAACCGGCCCCGGGCGGACGGGCAGCACCACAGCCAGGGCGGGGAGCGCCGCAGGACCCCGAGCCAGGGGCCCGGGCTGGCGGAGAGCTGCGGCACGGGGCGCTGGCGGCCGTCCCTCGGCTCCGAGCGGGCCGGGGCCGGTTCCGCTCCGTCCCCGCCCGGCGCCGCTCCCGCCGCGCTCGAACCGCGCGGGGGCTGCGCGCTGCGAGGCGCTGCCGCGATGGGGCCGCGGCCGCTGCTGGTGCCGCTGGCGTGCCTGGCGCTGCTGCTGCCGCCGCCCCGCGCCGCCGAGTTCAGCCCCTCCCTGGACAGCGACTTCACCTTCACGCTGCCCGCCGGCCGCAAGGAGTGCTTCTACCAGCCCATGCGCAAGGAGGCCTCGCTGGAGCTCGAGTACCAGGTCGGGCAGGGCGGGAGGGGGCGTTTCCCCGCGGCGTGTCCCGAGGGGAGCCGGGCTCCCGCATCCCGCCGGGACGGGGTCTGCCCGTGGCCATGTGCGGCGGCTCCGCCGGCCCTGCTGCCGGCAGCCCGGTCCTGCCTTGCCGCGGCGCTGAGGAGCAGTGCGGGCCGGGGACGCGGTGCCTGCCCCGAGCGGCGGCCGCGGGGCTCCCCCGGCCTGCCCCGGGCGCGGGCAGCCCGGCCCTGCCCGGGACCTGGCCGGCCTCGGCAGCGCCCGCCAAGCCACGTTGGAATTGTACACTGTTAGAAGTTCAGCCTTATGGAGTTAAAAATTAACTTGCCGCCTTTTTCAATTATTCTAATACATTCTTTTGGTGGTTTGGGGGGGAGTTTTTTGTTTCTACTTTAGAGGAGCTCAGGTCGCCATCCTTTAAAAGGGCAGAATGTAGAAAGTTCAGGGTTGTGACCTTGTGTTGTAGCCCTAAAGCGTAAGGAAGCTTGTGCTGATGCACAGAGCCCGTACTTACCTATCTTTGTGCTGATATGAAACACCTTTCCTCTCAATGGTGAACGTTTTACAGAAACAGCCCAATTTAACAGACTGTCGTTAAGATTTTGCTGTCCTTCTTGAGAAGAGTCAAGTTTCCCAGAGATGTCTGGGATATATCTTGATCTCAGACATTTTCCCCCCTTACAACAATGACTTTTTTTCCCAGTAAAATAGGTTCAGTGAAGGAAGCTGCACTGAACATTCTCCCACCCTGTTTCTGTGCCTAGAAATGGGCCAGGACCTGTCTCTTCCCCTCCATCTATTTTTCCCCTCTGTTTCCCAACTGAAAGAGAAAGCTGAAATCCATGTTTTTTTCTAGTTTCTGATACTGTTACATGCAGAACTGAACAAGAATGAAAGAGAGGTGTTCAAGCTTTGTTTAGAGTCCTGTCTCAGCCAAACAGAAGTTTATTTTGCACAGAGTGGGATTTTAGTTTGATCATAAGCTAAATAAATACATTATTTTACAAAGAACTAGTGTGTATAACATCGTACCTTATTTCTACTTAGGCATAAATTTCTTAGCACTACTGTTAACAGTAATTATTTGGTTTTCTATTTAAATATGTAGAAAAGAAGCTCTGTATATTACTGCAAATAGATTTATTTTGTACTTAATTATATTTGTGGCTTAAACCATAAGTATTTAACAGAGGATGCAGGTAATTCTCCAAAGACATAAGGTAAACACTATGCTAACACAAAGCAATCATTGACAGCAGCCATAGAAATGCCAGATTTAGCCATTTCTTGTTGGTATTTTTACAGCTTGTCTAGCCCTGCCTGTTGATAAAACTGCATGCATTCTTAAAAGTAATTAGGGAACGGTTCATTATAAGCCCTGCCTGGCAGATTTAGTTTAAGATTCTGAAATTGCTAAAATGCTTTTAGGTTCAGCTGTTTTTCCATCTCTTTCCAGTTAATTTGGTGTCAGCTCATCCAGACAGATTAATCTTTCAGATTCTTTATTTGTTTGTTCCCTTACCTAAAAACATTTGCCTTCCCTATAAATGTTGCTGTAAGCAATGCAAACAGGAATTCAATGGATCAGAGGTTGGTTATTTTTGTTTGTTTCACAGGTTCTAGATGGAGCAGGATTAGATGTTGATTTTCATCTACTCTCCCCAAAAGGTGAAACTCTAGTTTTTGATGAAAGAAAATCAGATGGAGTTCATACGTAAGTTTAAAATCTTCAAACTCAGAAGTGTTACATAAAGAACTTTTCTGGTTTCTTTAGCAAATATAACTAAAATGAAGGTTGAGTACTTTTTATTCCTTGGTGTTACAAAAGACTTTCTAATAGGACAGTTTGAGAATACCAATTTCCTTTTTATAAACACTGAATGCTTTTTACGTTAATTGTGTCATGAAGTGAAGGGTATTTTTGTTTTAATGACAGCTGTTCATACTCAGTGGATTAAAATAATTATTATGGAGTTGAAAAAGGTCTCCATATCCAATACCAGAAGATCATGTGAGTCATATAAATAAGAAGCTAGAACAGTCCCCAATTTTTCCAGACCTTTTGTCAAAATATGTAATATTTGCTGTAATTTTACTGTACGACATAAGAACTCCACTTAGTGTGTATTTTTTTGTAATGATTAGCAATGATTCAAAATCGCCAAAAAGAAATGAAAGCAAGTCGCTGTCTTCATCATTTTGAGCCTTTGGAGTCAATAGGATTGTTTTCCTGTGACTATGTAAGCTGTAAAGTGTCTTTAGAGTTGTTCTTTTTATACAAGAAGAAGATTTGGTTATTTCTAAATGCACGATTTTCAGTCTTAAAGGGAAGGTGTGCTTACAAAAACTGGTCTTTTGAGAACCAGCACAGAAAGTGCAGTTAATCATATTTTGCTTATATACACAGTGTGGAAACAGAAGATGGGGATTATATGTTCTGCTTTGACAACACATTCAGTACCATTTCTGAAAAGGTGATTTTCTTTGAATTGATCCTGGACAATATGGGAGAAGATGGTCAAGATGAGGAAGACTGGAAGAAGTACGTTACAGGCACAGACCTCCTAGACATGAAGCTGGAAGATATTCTGGTTAGTATTTAATCTTTCATTCTATTCAGTGTAAGAGCATTTGGAAAAAAAATTCAGCATCATGTAGCCCCTCTTACTTGGTCTGTTGCATCATCCTCAAATGTATTCCAGGTCCGTATATTGCTTTTACGAATACAGGAAGTCTAGCACCATGGATCTCTTGTTTACACACAGAAACTTGAAGATCTTTTCAGAATAGGCCCTTCATCAGCAAGAAGAAACTGCCTAGCTCTCAGTCACTTGGTTTCCCATTCAGTTTCCTTTCTTCCTACTGCTAAAATGGGACATTCTTCCCTAGCAGCAATGACATGAATACTTTGAGAATTAAAGTATTATTTAGTCGCAGTGATGTAGTTGGAATTACTGCATCATTTTTATCAATGTTTAAAGATCAAGTACTGTGTTAGCCTTATCATCACATCTTTGCAGAAGTGTGGATTACTGTTTCTATCTTCAGTAAATTAGATATTACTATATTAGGTTTTTTGCCCCCAAATTTTATTACATATTTTCAAACTAATAAACAGAATGAGAGTTAATTTGCATAAACTACAAGTTCATCTTTGCAGACATTGAGTGGTTATGTTTGCTTCAGCTGTATGCTGAGCCTGTTTGATGTAGGATTCAGACTACTGCTGAGTCCAAGCTCTTATTCCTTTTATGATCATTAAATATTGAGATTACTCTAGAAGCAAAGGATTGCTTGGTGCTCCAGTACCACTGTTCTTAATGCTTGGTAGGATGCAGTAAAGCTATTGTTTGTTTGATCATAGCTACAGACAGTAGGTATCTTAAAAAAAACAACCCAAAACCCCAACATCTGCACACACCTACTGAATACATCATGTAGCAAATCACAGTGTATTATTTACTGCCATAAACACGATGCAGATTTTTAAATAACAAAACAAACAATGTTTAAAATATTTTATAGGTGTATGATACACTCTTAAATAATAATAAAACCAAATACAGAATCTGAAAATCTGATCAGATCTTTAAATTTAGCAGTCAAGACACTTAGAAAAAACCAAAATTTATATGTGAAGAAAAAGTTGTGAAGAAAATCCCACTCACACTAATCACAGAAAATACTGAGATGGATTTGATAGATACTTGTTTACATACTGGTATCTCTTCCAAAAGAAAAAGAAATGCAGAACCTGTCTTTGAGAGCCTTGAAAATCTTATAAGTAGGTAATTTTCGTAAAGTTAAGATTAGTATCTAATGCCATTGTTTACTTAGCTAAGTATTACTTCCCTACACGTTCTATGAGGACTAACATAAGCACTTAGTAGTTTAATTCCTTAATGAGAACAAATTTTCTGGCAAAAATAGAGAATTATGTCTTATGTTTAAAGCTCTTGTGTGGTGTTCATTTTCCTTATTGTGTAACAATGAACTTTATCATCATAAATTTATTTGGCTCCCCAGAATAGCTATTTTGAAATATTTTTGTTAATTATGAAACAGAGAAAATGTTACTGCTGGATTTAGCCATACGATTTTGGGGATTTTTAAAAGTTATTAGCTTCCTCTTACTGCAAATGTTACTCTTCTCACTAAAAGTTACTTCAGGATCCATAATTATAGCAAGAACATAATTCAGCACTGCACGAGATCAGCTTTTGTCAGTATCTGTTATGTGGTGGATGAAACTTCAACAGATCATAGATGTTTACTTAGTAAGTGCAGAATCAAGTGCGAATTTTGAGCTGCTGTTGTCATGGCTGGAGTGTTCAGGTACTTCCCCTAGTTCCAGGCTCACACTTTATGTCCTTTCTAGGACCTCCCATTTGTCCTGTTCAAGATTTATTGTCAAAATTCTGCTTTTATATCAAGGCTGAAGCAGCAGTTTATAGCCACCACAGTGGAAACACCAGAAGCAGACAGGAAAGTAACTATTGCAGTTTTCTTTTGCTACAGATATAGCCCTGATGGTAGTTTCCACTCAAAAAACTCCTTAATTTTATTATGCAGCAGAAAAAAACTCTATATTTGCTTGCTACTACATAATTTGTTTTGAGACTAGTTCTGCAGATTCTCTACTTTTTATTAGTCCACATAGGTTTGGACTAATATACCTCCATACCTATAACAGAGAAAAAACAAAATTACTACAGAACAGTAATGCTACATCAATTAAGTCTTTTTAACTAATACACAATAAACAGGCTAGACAAATCAATGAAAACTGTGATGATGTGTATATTTTAAAATTAAATTAACTCTTCACTTGTCAAGACATTAAATTACAGCTGGTAACATGATGTTAATAATTTTGTATGTGTTGCAAGCTATACACTTAATTCAGGTGGGTTTTTTTTCTAAAAATACTCTTTTGTTACTTACCAGGAATCCATCAACAGTGTCAAAGCCAGATTAAGCAAAAGTGTCCAGATTCAGACCCTGCTCAGAGCATTTGAGGCTCGTGACCGAAACATACAAGAAAGCAACTTTGACAGAGTGAATTTCTGGTCCATGGTCAACTTGGGAGTAATGGTGGTGGTATCAGCTGTTCAGGTTTACATGTTGAAAAGTCTCTTTGAAGATAAGAGGAAAAGTAGAACTTAATATTCATTAATGTTCATATTATGATCATAACAATATAACAGGTATGGGGGAGACAGGGAGCAATAAACTACAGTAAAGACAACAAAGACCTTTCATATTCTTTTGAACAGACAGTAAAAATCAGGTTTTCAATTTACATTGGGCTTTTTGGATGTGATAGTGCTGGTCTTGTTTGTGTTTGGGGGTTTTCTGTTGTTTTTTGTGGTGGTTGGTTGGGGTTTTTTTTAAACATGAACATAATGCCTCTTCCCAAGCTCTCCCATTTTTCCAAATGCTACTATTTTTTGTACTTGTAGGATTTGTTAATGATTGTTAATTCCTATCTTATGCATAGCACACTTGGTGCATATGCAAAGTAATGTTCATATAACTGTCATTATCTTCATTTTCACATAAGTTTAAGTAGTAACTTAGACATTGGTTTAGTTGCTGTTAAATGCTGAGTGAATTTACATGTGCCTAAGTTTACAGGATTGGTAGTTACTGTCATTTTTCTTCAAAGTTACGTTTTTTAAAATCCTTAGTTTTTGTTCTTTGGCATCATGGAGAAACACTGGGCTAACTATGTAAGAACATGAGATCTCTTTTTATAACAGATGACTAATATCAGCACTTTAAAAAAAGCACCATCAATGTGAAATTGAGGCAGTTTTGAAAAACAATTGGAGAAAATAGATACAATTCCTGTTCATAAATCCTTCTGTCCTGTAGTTGCAAAATCCTGTTTTCCTTTTTGGCTGTAACATAAGACAAGTGACTATGTGGTATACAGAGAAATACAGGCACACTTTGAGGTATGACTTGCAAATTCTTAGTTACTGTAACATCATGTAATAGATAATTATTTAAAAAGTAATTTCTCATGTTTTTTTCCTTTTAATAAAGGCAGGGGGTGTTCATGGTATGCCAGAACAAACATTGATTGTTGTAGTCTCAAAATCCCTCTTATTTTCCACTTTATTACAACTATGACTAATGTTACAGTCAGATGATTTACATAGGCATATAAAACCAAAGCTGTTCACCTAAACTTTCCCTTTTTGCTCACCCTTACAAGTCTTTCAGCTGTTTAAGTACATTCTTCTTATAATCCATGTTTCTGTACCTAGCTGTTCATCTGAATAAGGCACAAATCAGAGGAGCAGTAAGTACAGGCCTCAAGTTTTATGATCAACTGAATATGTAGTATCATGGTCACCAAGACAAAGCTAATACCAAATCAAAAACGTCTAATATCTGGATAAGTGGCTTTTAACAGTGTAGTGAGGGTATAGAGTTGTGCCAAGACCCCTGGTGCATGAGAATTAACTTTTTAAAAGTAGTTTCAAGTCAGTAATTTTTACAACGTGCCAAGTCATTGGAATTTCTTGTGTAAATGTGTTAACTGCATTTCATCATAAGAGTTTTTTAAAAACTTTATTAAAAACACTTTTGTAAAAAGTGTTGTAAAAACAGTGTATGTAGTAGTGTTGTGCCTGTTCTGGGGTCATCTGTATGAATGGCAGAGTTGCAACTTTGAGACTTTCTGTGATTAAATAGTGTTTTATGAATAAAAACAGGGTCAATAGGTGCATTGAAGAAATATTGTTCAAATGAAACAGATGCTAGCAAGGGCTACAGAACATAGAAACAGCACTTCAGCTTCAACTTCAGAGAAGAGGACCTAGCAATAATATTTCTAAATAGTTTTTATAAGCAAAATAATTATTATTACAGAACATGTTATAGAGGGCTCCAAAGGCTGTTGAGCTACTTCATCTTTCTGCAAAACTGTGTCCAAAATAGGACTGTACCCCTTTAAGGTTTTGTGTATCTTAATTCCATATGATGCTTTCTATTCTAAACTGCCCGGAAGTAGAAAGCTTGTTTCTTGGATAAGAACAATATCTAGGAAAAATTAATTATTTCAGCTAGAGTAGCAAATAATATTTTCGTGCCACTTCCCTGTCCCTCTCCCAGTAGCACTCTACCATGTTATCTTTGCTTGCATCACCATGTGTGATGCTCCAAAACATCTGCAAAATGCTGAACCAGCTCTGGGAAGCTGTGACTAAGACATCTACCTCTGCTCTCCAAGCTACTAGAGTCAAGATTTCAGCTTACAACTCCCATAAGCTCTGCCAAGTTTCCCAGGGGCACCTTAGGGGATTGGGTTCCCCAGCTGCTCTGCTGTGCCTCTCTGTAGCTACAAACCAGTGGCAAAACCGTTTGGTGTCCGAGCTGAAGCTGCTGCTGGATGCAGCCTGCTCTGATCAGACTGCTGCAGTTCAGCGTCTCCCGTTACAAACAGCGATCCCTGGGAGAAGGAAAATGCAACAATCGGCAGCAGAGTTCATCTGGAAGAAATTACTGTTCTGCAACTAAGAGCTCTGACTATATGCTCTTTGTTCAAGGTCCACTATAGAAAATGAAAGAGGGAATAACTAGAAAAGTTCACTGACTTTGGCAGCTGGAATATGTTTATGATAGGTGAAGGATTTGGCATTCAAACTTTCAGTTAAGTAACACTGTACTTGGATTTTGAAGAGTAGATTGCTTTCGACGGTATAAAATTTACAAAGGAGAATATAAATTACGTTTTTTTTCTTAATGGACTTTTTCTTCAGAAATAAATGTTTTAAGACTTGCAGATGTTGAATAATTATGCAAAACTGAGATTTTCAATAAATCAAGTTTAAACCTGTGCTTGTATTGTTTGATAATGAAGGAAGAATGCTATGAATGCTGCAAAAGATCAAGGATGCTAAGTTAACAGGAAATTGGGTTTTAGTAATGCAGCTTTTTCATTTCTTGTGAAATTTGCAAATTCTGTTCTTAGTCACTGTAAATATCAACTTTATCAGTGCAAATAATTTAAGATTTACACAAGCGTCAGATCAGAAAGACACCAACCCCTGGACTTTCTAAGAGAAAATATTTAACATACTTAACTGTATTTCAGCAGCAAACATCAACAGGAAATAGTATCACAATCTCAAGTTCACAATTAAGAAACTCATAATGTAAATTACTACTAGTTATTAATATATAATATATTTGCATTATTCATAAAATAATACTCAAGATCCCGAGAATAAAGCTTAAAATATTGGAACTTTTTTTTGGGTAATTGAGTAATGCACGACAAATCCAAGCTTGTTTACCATTTCAAAGACTCCTGAGACACCCGGGCCTGTCCGGAAGCCTGCAAACCACATTGTTCAAGTAATGAAACAGAACTTCCTTTATGCTGTGTTTTGAATCAATGAAATAGATCATGAAATGCTAAAGTACAATCTTATGTTGTCAGATTAGGCAACTAGTGGTAGAAGCAACAGTGATTTGACTTGAAAAAGTACATGAGTAGTAAAATCTCTTTTAAGTGCTATTTTTGGACACAGACATAAGAAATACCTGGGTAAGTTCCCTTTCCTGATGTCTCCAAGCATGCACCATGAGAAATGACTCCTGCCTCCACTTCTCCTGTACAACACAGCACAGCCTTGTGCCTCACACTGGCACATTGTTTCTCGTGCTCAGCAGTGCAGCACGGCCTTGTTTAACTCCACTTGTTTGTCAGGGTGCAGCACCATCCTCACTGCATGACCACATGGTACAGTGTTAAGACCACATTTTTAAAGATTTTACTCCATCAGTCACAGCAATTACTTTTTTTTCCCCCCCTTTATGGAGGGTTTTTTAATATTTATATGGCAATCTCTTCTAAAGACTCATGATCCCAAAAATTTAATTAAGACAGCCTGAAACTAAGAAGACTGAGCTGTATCTGATGTCTTTAAAAACTAGCAGTTCCTTTCCTATGTTTCAAAGAACAATTCTCCTCAAGACTTTCATTTGAGAACTTAGCAACTTGTGGTGTAGACAGGAAACATACATCTCTTAGTTACTGCTGAGAAATGGCTTCTGTTAAGCCTTTCCTTTTCCATGTTTTCCCCCTGGCTCCAGTAGTACTCTCACAGAAATTCACTATTCCTACAGGAGGAATGTGATATGAATAACACAGTACAGAGGTGAGTAAGCACAATTTACACAAATCACTACAGAAACTAAAAAGGCAATCAAAAGCTACATAACTTACTGTTTTCAAAACCAACAATTCGCATAACTGTTGATTTTTATCACGACAAAAATAAAATAGTAATAAAATAATGAAAAACAACTTAGAAATAGTAGTAAGCCCACCTACACTGCTGAAGTTTCACCAGAAGCATCTGAATTACATCTCCCATGCTATCAAGTGCTATAGCTGACAACAGTTAATGAGACTTGGAACCCATACTGTTCAAACTCCTTTCTTCCCTTCATGCATACCAAGTTTCTGGAAACAATATCCATCCTCATTCTCCATCTGCCACCTGGTAAATTGGAACACAGGTGCATAAAGAAGGCATAGATTTTCCAGAAGAAAAGTTCTAGAAGCATATATCTATACATTTCAATCTTATGTAAAGGGACCTGAAATTAAACATCTAAGTCCTTTTATGTTTAAGAACTTAATGGAGTTAAAACCTCTCCAGTTGTTCATTAATTCCCTTTCCCACAATTTCCAACTATTGTTGATGTTAGAATTTTACCCTTAGTGCTTTCTGGTTTCTGCTGTCATGCAAGCAATTTGTGAAGTTATGAATACCAGATTAGAGCAACCAAATAACACAAAGCAGGCAAGCAGTAATGATCATGAATGAGAAAAACAGGTACATAGCAAAGCAGTAACCATCCCACTGGATGGTGACACAAGCAAATGCAACAATAGCCAAGTTTTGTGAGTATTCATTAGAGAATGGCAAAGCACAAATGAAGGACTTGGAAGTGGTACTTACAGAAAAAACTTTATTAAGAGCAAGACATAACTGTTAATTAGCTTCCTGCTTTAAAGCAGGTTTTGAAGTAAATGAGCTTGTTAAGAGTAAAACTGCAGATGTCAGGCTTGGAAGGTACTATGTTGAACATTAAATAAGCAGAAGACTAGGAAACCAAAACCACATGGAAGTCAATCAGTGCCAAACACTGAGTAGCTAACAATGGCAAGTAATCTGAATATTGTGAAATTGAGAAGCTGGAAACATAAATTAGAAGAAGAAAAACACACACTGGTGAAATAGTATCAGTAAACAGATTAGAAGATTATATGAAAAGAATGGTATGAATTACAGCTGTACTTGAAAAATTAATATCTGCTGGCAAAATATTTTGGTACTAATGAAAACCAGAACAACTGTTGATATTATGGTATATGGATCTCCATACTGAAATATGTACAAACCTGATTTAAAAAATAGCAGAGATGGACTAGCTGAGAACATTAAGATTCAAAAATGCAAAACATTAAAACACCAAGCTAATACAAAAATCTTGTTTCATTCTTGCTGAATGACAAACTTGAAAGACAGCAAAAGCATCAAATTTCAAGCTCATTCTCAGCCTATGCACAGCTTGTACTGGTATTTGTCTTTTGTTTTCCTTTCTATTGTCCTGCACTACCTTTGCTAAAAGACGGTTGTTTCCCCCTCCCACTTTCTTCAGGGACTCCAAAGGAGATTCTTTTCCCATCTTTCATTTCACCACACCTCACCTACAGATGATCCAATTCACCAAAAAAAAAAAAAAAAAAAAAAAACCCAAAACACCAGCAAACTTCTCTACAAACACTGACAACTCCGAAGTTTAACTCATGCATTAATATTTTTCTAACTAAACTAGGATATCAATAGATCTGACACCTCAATATGGGCATTTAAGTTCAACATTGACCAAACAATGTTTCAACGTTTCCTAAACCCTTTTCTCCATTTCTACAAAAAGAAATTTTCTTCCATCATGCGCTTAACTGGAGTGTTATTTTTCATTCAGACAGATGTGAACCAACTAGAGATGTGCCTGAACATATTACCAGCATACAATTTGCAAGACTCCTCCTCTTCTCTCTGTGCACAGAACTGATGCTTCTGTCCAGTTTGTCCTTGTCACTCTGTTCTGACTATTGCTCCACTGTCATCCTTGGTATGTTCCATCTCTATTCACCAATTTCCTTTTAAAATATAATACTAAAGATCACTTTAGTAGAATGTTCCAAAGACAAACCATTTTTTGTTTATTAAATTATCTCCCCACCCCTAGACAATAAAGTGCTTGCCTTCACCTTTAAAGGCCTTTTTTAATGTATTTGTCTTCATGTTAAATTGAAATATTGACCTTCATTTCATATATCATGCTTAGAGATTTTTCAAAATTCCTTCGTAATCTCACTCAAAATGCGTTATGCATAGAAAAACCATAGTTTTATTCAAAATTCCTGTTGAAGTTGTGTTGAGAACAATGATTTGACAAATAGTTTGCTATGATGCATATCTTACAATTCGGACCAGTATTGTGCCATTATTTCTTTGCTGTCTTGTTCATGCGATACCTATCTTTTTAGAACTGTCACGAGAGACATCACCTATCTAAATACTACTGAAATACAAATAAAACATAAAGGAAAAATATTAAATACACACATAGAAATGGTTCTAAATCAGTGACCACAACAAAGTTGAATTACATATATTTACACACATGCGTACATACAATGATCGAGTTATACCAAAATGAAATCATTACATACAGCAACATTTGTCTTTTTCCTTTAGACACACCACTACTACATACAATGAAATTCACATAAAATGAGAAAGGCATTTGTAGGTGTGCTTTAATTACTACTCTAGCTCTATCTTCAGCAGCACTATTGCAGCATTTTCCAGTACATGACACCTTGTAACAAAGCATCCCTCAACCATAGCTGGAACACCAGTTAGTGTCTATGTGCAGGGCAAGTGTCTCCAGGCCAGGAACAGGAAAGCTAGAGACTGGGAAATAATGGATGGGAGGATGCCACCAAGTATGTGCTTCACAAGAGTACAGAATCAAAACTCATTCTTCTCTCTCAAAAATACACACATTTAATGTTGGTCTTTTAATTCTAAGAGAAAAACAATTCCAAAAATACAAACTGAACATCAGAGTTAAGTCAACCACCATAATAAAATGAAAACAACATTCACAATAGTTAGGTCTATGGACAGCTGAAGTTTGACAAGTATTTTGTCCCCACACCTCCCCCACTTAAGTCCCCAAGTACATTCCAATATTTATCATTAAATGAATCTCTATGAAAAATACTGCTGGTGTTCAGTTAGAATTAAAGGACTTGGATAAAGTGAAACAATAAAGACAAATACAGATGGTGTGAGTAAGGTTACAAAGGCTTTACATTTTGCATTATCTCAAGATATAAACATTCAAAAATTAACATGAAGTTGCTGTGTTATCAAAATATTGCAGCTATAGGCAAGGCAACATTAAATTAATAGCTGAGGGTGTGAGAAAAAACCCACACATTTTAGTGAAGGTAAACAGAAGTGGGAGTTTTTAATTAGCATTTTTATAAAGCTAATATAACCCAGCCAGCCAAAAGCCAAACACAGGATAAAAAGCTTTCTCTGCTTCCTTTGGCTATAAGGTGACAAAAAAAAATTTCAAGAAAAAAGTCACCTTTTCAAGATGTTCAAGATGAGCAGAAAAAGTCAAATAACCAAGTAATGGAATAAATAAGTACTCACTCAAGTAGTACACTTCAAACCACTGTCATTTGCTAATGTTACATAATTTTATTTTGGTGGCAAACTGTAAGCATGTAAGAAA